GCTGTTGTCTATGGCAGCCAGTCAGACTTCATCCTCTATTCCCTAAGAGATTGACATGTTAAAGGGATGTGCCACCTTTTAGAAAAAGAAGATAACAAATACAGTTCATAAAAGAAAAAAAAATGTACAGTAAACTTCCCATTATCTGGCATTCAAGCAAATGGCAGAAACAATCCAGGACATAATATGTCCTCAATGTTTTTTGCTGGTGGCTTGATGCACACTAAAAAGCTGTTGGCCTTTTAAAAAATGTCGTTAGCAACTAAATTTATTTAGTTACTAACAAAATTCTTTGTTAACATCTTGCTGCCGGCAGGCGACTGGATTCAGTGGCAAGCAGCAGAATGTAAACAATGGGGAGAAATTGCCTCTCTGCTATTGGCTATTTCAATTGGCAAAAGCCAATAGCAAGCTGGCTATTGTACCTGCCAACGGAGCAGACCTGAGAGAGAACTTTCTATCTCGTTTGCGCCTCTCCTCAGTGGGCGGGGTTTCAATTGCGAGCCTGCTATTGGCTATTGCAATTTGAAATCTCAGGCAGGCTATTGCTTAAGGTGCCCATACACTGCTCGATTCTCGTACGAGAATCGCGGGAAATCCCGCGATCGTACGAGAATCGAACAGTGTGAACGAAGACGTGCGACCGTTTCTACTGTACGGTCGCACGTCTTTTGTCTAAGGAGCATGCTAGAAAACCAGCCAAGAATCGTACGATTTTTGGCTGGTTTGAACAGTGCTCGGGAGACAAATGCCGAACGGGCCGGTGTGCGCACGCGCACACTGCCCGTTCAGCATTGCGGTCATCGGAAGCCCGCCCCTCGGGAGAGGTTGCGATGATCGAGAGTGCGATCTGCCTGTCCAAGATGGGCAGATCGTACGTTTTTTAAATCACTTTACAACCATCGCAAGACCAAGGTCTTGCGATGGTTGTACAGTGTTACATTCACCTGTCGACTACAGTAGCTAGCCTGCAGGTGAATGGGGCCGCAGGAGGGGAGGTGGTTGCTTAAGAGTTACTATTGACTCTCAAGCAACCAGAAACTTCATTTATCTGGCACCTACCAATCTCTGCGGGTGTCGGATAACTGAGAGTTTACTGTATATAATTGTTTTGGTTTTTTTTGCATTGGGGACAATAATTAATTGCAACTGCAATCAGTGGATCACAGGTTCTTCCCCTGGGGGCCCTTGAACATGAAATCAAAGACTTTGTGCCATAGGCAGCAATTACTCACTTTGGGGTGTTGTATGGACTGTTTTGTGGTGCGTTTACAGAAGAAGAGATTGATGGCACCTGGATGGTAATCCCCACTGCTGCTGGCTCCCTCTGTGCTGCTACACCAGTCCCCGCAGCCTCTTTTCCTCTTCACTGCAATGGTCTAAGGAGTGCTGACATCATCAAGCACAATGGAGACTCCACAGACCTGCATTGTATGTGAGGAGCCAAGTGACAGTGGAGAGGAAGAAGAGAGCACCAACTGCCAGGGGAGAGCGGATCAGAAAAGTAAAACATTTTTTTCCTGATTCCTAGCCATAAATAAGCAGTTAACCCTTGCAGTGCAGGGGCAGTCCCACTGCAAGAGAAAACTACTACTTTGTAGAGCTGCAGCTAACGATTATTTTCAAAATCGATTAGTTAGCCGATTATTAAGTTCGATTAATCGGTTAATCGGATATAAAAAAAAATAATTAAAAATTGCTCCAGTGATGGACTACTAGTTTGTATTGAGATTGCACTCCATCACAGGAGCAAGCTTGGAGCGGTGGAAGAAAAAAAGAAAAACAAAAAGTGTGGTGTGCAATATAGTGAAATGAAAAGTGTAAAATTATACAGCAATTAATGCAGAATGGCACCGGCTATAGAGAACTACAAATCCCAGCAATACATTATACAGCGCAATGCAGAATACCTCCAGCTATAGAGGACTACAACACCCAGCAATGGCACGCTTACCTAACCGTTCTTCCAGCAACTTGTTTCTGAGATCGGGCCTGTCTATCGGCGGCTGTCATCCGCCCTCACCTGCTCCTCCCTACTTCTTCTCCCTGCGTCCCTGTGCCGATCGTGGATTTGGGCGGGCGGTGAGCGTGAGGTGGGGAGGAGGTGTGGCGTGTGGAGCGTGGATGCGGGCGGGCGGATCTGGCAGTCGCGAGCGTGAGGTGGGGAGGAGGTGTGGCGCGCAGCTGTGTGGAGCCGTGAACAGGGCCAACCAATCGGAAACCGATTAATCGATGATTGAAAAAGTTGACAACTTTTTCAATCATCGATTATAATTGATTATGTCGATTAGTTGTTGCAGCCCTACTACTTTGTAAACCAAATGCCTTTGCAAACACAGATTTTACCTTGCAGAAGTATGATGACATCATCCCTGTGCTGTACACATCATGTGCAGAGAACAGAGCTATGGCAGGGTCCCATTAGGCCCACCCACTACCCATTACATTGACCTATCGCACTGTGGCACATAAAGCACAAACACATTTATGGTGAGTTACATTTGACAATTTAATATGGAGAAACAATGTTATGATTTCCAACTGAAAAACACAACTCAGCATATGGATTAGACCAGCTAACATTGACCTACTGTAATGTGACACAAATAGAGCTTGGTAAATCTATTTACTCTTTTTAATCTATGCTGAGTAAATTGAATAAAGAGAATTCAATACACTGGCTCATTGTACTGTTGTTAACTTTTACCGCATTTAACGATGTTATATCATGATACTTGCGTTGAGTTAAACTGTATTTGAAAATGAATAAAGATATATTAAAGGGAAAAGGAAGATGATACAACTGTTAAATAATTCATTTATGCATCACAAGCCAAGAATTCATGTATTGATTTGTTTGGAAAGGTAAAATAAGAATGCTATTGAAAGAAATATTTAAGTATTAGCTGCTGTAGTGAAAACAGATTTCATAACATAACAGTGAATATTCGATGAACATGCCACCTTTAATCTAAATATATACCAGAACATTCTTTAGTTCTCATACTCATTTACTAATAACATATCTTATTTCATAATGCACGTACAAACATTTCCATTAATCTCTGTCCCCATAGGAACTCACAGTTTCATTCCTTTCCACGCTAATTTCAAGGCTAATTTAGCTGGAAGTTACCTAGGCGCTGATTTATAAACTGTTCGCACAACGGTTCACTGTGCAAACGAGAGTCACAGTACTGTATGGCCACTAGATGGAGCCGAGGAGCATAGGAATTAGGGTTAGGTTCAAAAGTTCTAATTCTATTGCGTTTTAGGCAAAGTGTAAAAAAAAACAACACACTTTGAGGTATATTTATGAACCCTTTACTGACATTTGCCCACTGGCATTTGATGATATTTACATAGCATTTTCTATG